ATTTTGAATTGTCACTTTTCACCTGAATTTTCCCTTTACATTAAAAAGGTAATTCCACGGTAAATTTGTGCATTAAAATTCACTAGAATGCAGGAAATGAAGTGTTTTTAACAGTCAGATATACTAGCGGAGAATCCCCAATCTCACACTTCATATGTGTAGGATAGCCGATATATCTTTCTGCTGTTCTTTCAGTTCTTGCAGTAACCACTGTTATTATAATAATAACGCACTGAAATCACATTAACTGTGTCTTTACAGTAATACACAACAAGCTAGCTAGGCTTGCCAGTTAGCTTAGTACCTAGCAAGACTAGTTTCCCGTACAGGCTAATTCCTGAAATGAGTTTACTGGCATTACCTCAGTACAATGATTACACTTAACACCAACTAAACAATGTAAGGTGATGAAATACAGAGAGAGAATGGAGTTATTTTATTGTCCCTGTAAGTCTCTAGTGGATTATCTTATCTTTTTTTACTGCCTCAATAAGGAAACAAGACAGCAACTGAATAAGCAAATAACAACGTTTTATTGTTTCTCAAGGTCTTAGAGACGTTTTTTTTTTTTTAAAAGATATTTTTTGGGCTTTTAGCCTTTAATGGATAGGACAGACAAGTGTGAAGGGGGGAGAGAGAGGGGGTTTGGCATGCAGCAAAGGGCCACAGGCTGGAGTCGAACCCGGGCCGCTGCGGCAACAGCCTTGTACATGGGGCACCTGCTCTACCACTAAGCCACTAGCACCCCAGGTCTTAGAGACGTTTATGCAGGGGCGGAAATCCCGGGGGGGACAGGGGGGGACATGACCCCCTCTAAAGTAAAGCTGTCCCCCCCTAGAATAATTTGAGACACAATTAATAATTTTTGAACAATGCAGTAGTATTTATTGAAAGCATAATGTAAGCGGTGCTCATTATAATCGCGCAATAATGTGCTATTCAAATCTTAAAAGACTTAGTCCCCCCCTCCCATTCCTAGTAGTGGTATATCCCACACTCTTTCCAATGGGCGGGGCTACTTGGCAGCAGTAGCAGCGTGTGGCTGGACCCGCTGCCTACATCACGCATTGCAGAGTAAGATGTTCATTCACACAGACACAGTTTAACTTACAGAAGTTACAACACATCCCATTTACTGTTACAACAAGCCCCAGGCCCAGGCTGATAATATAAACTGTCTGCAACATTTCTCCTGCATTGTTCAAAAGCCTACTCAATTACGAGTGCTGCTGAGCTAAAAGCTAATGATTAAGCTCAGAGTTTAGTGATAGTCAGAGAGGACAGGAGAGAAGAGGGAGAGGACAGGACAAGAGCAGTCAGTGGCAGAGTGGCTCATAGCTAATGGGTACCTGTCTGTAGGCTCTCCACCTTCAGTGAGACAAACATGAAAGACGTGCAGTTTACCGACGAGGAGCAGCCATTACGCATGGTTGTGATGGAGTGGCTTGTAGCTAATGGGTACCTGTCTGTAGGCTCTCCACCTGTCAGTGAGACAAACATGAAAGACGTGCAGTCTAACCAACGAGAAGCGGTCATTACGCGCTACTATTACGCACGGTAGTGAGGTGCGCAGCGGCAGATCTCAAAGCACACTGTTTATAAACCAGTTTACCAGTTTAATTGCAGGAAAGGTTTAGTTGTTAAGCCATTTCTCACAAGTAGAGACATTCACTCTGCCTGTTGGAGAGATAGAGAGAAGATTAAAGCGTCAAATTGTGGTAAAAGATGCTGTATAAAAGACAGGCTACAACTTTTTTTCCTTGTCCCCCCCTGGAATTATTCTCTAAAATTTTACTGTTTATTGTCCCCCCAAACTATGAAATGGGATTTTCGAACCTGCGTTTATGAATACACACACCCTTGTTGTGGTCTTGAGTCCCAAACAAGTCATAATGCATAAATAAAATGCTGTTGACTAATGGCCAGAAAGGTCTTTTTGTAGAATATTATGATATCAAGTTGACCTTTGACCTTTTGGATAAAAAAGTCATAATTTTATCCTATAAGACATTTGTATGATATTTTGTCTCAATTAGCCAATTAAAATTAGCCAAAAAATGTATGGCCAAAAACATATTTTGTAAGGTCACAGTGTCCCTTGACCACAAAATTCTAATCTGTTCATCCTCGAGTCCAGTAGATGTTTGTACTAAATTAGAAAATAATCCCTTAAGATGTTCATTAGATATTTCATTCACGTGAAAGAGCCATCATTGTGACCTTGACCTTCGACCTATGACCACAAAAATCTAGTCAGGAAATTTGGAAATTTGCGCCAAATTTGAAGAAATTCCCTCAGGGCCTTGAGAAATCGTGTTCACAAGAATGGGCTGGATGAACAGACAGATGGACAACCCAAAAACATAACACCTCCAGTCACGCCCTGCACGGAGGCATAAAAATGTCGATAACTTTCTCTTCCTAAATTTGTTAGACATTTTCTACGTCTTTTCTTTTAAGATGATGTTATATGTTGTTGCATGTTTGTTTTATGTCTACATGAAATAAAAATATCACCGTTAACAAGAGTTGATTTAGGAAATTAAGGGAAATGAACTGAATCATGGTTCAGTTTTTAAATGACATACCTTTTAATCTTTGGGCTTGGAAACATCTCTGTCTCCTCAAAATCATGTTAATAAACAGCAAATCTAAAATAGCACATATGTTTCAGAGGGAAACATAATGCAGAGCAAATTATGTTTTCTATTTATACAGTACAGAAATATTGCTAATTTACATACATGACAAGTCCCAAAAATGTTAATACTGAAAGTTTCAGCAAAATGTAATATGACAACATATTTTATTTGTTTTCCACTAAAAAATCATTCTTGCAATGCACTATCCACTTGTAGTGACAACAACACTATTTTTAAGCCTCTGCACCAGAGGCAGTATGTTTTCAGGTTGTCCGTCCCTATGTTTGTCCCATTGTCCCATTCTTTTAAAAGAATGCTTTGAGGTAACAAAAAAAAAAAAAAAAAAAAAAATCACATTTTGTACGAACATTCACTTGGACTCAACATGATTAGCTTTAAGCCGTCATAGGTCAGAGATCAAGGTCACTGTGAACTTGTCCATTTAATTCTTGTGAACACAATAGGTTAATACCTCAAAAGAATTTCTTGAGATTTGGCACAAATAACCACATGGATTTGAGGATGAATTAATTTAATTTGGTGGTCAAGAGTCCAAGGTCAAGGTCACCATGACCTTGCATCCATCTCATTGATGAACTGATTAGATTTTGGTGGTCAAAGGTCAAGGTCTAGGTGATCTCATCTGTGTCATTCTTTGTAAACATGATATCTCATGAATACTTTGATGGTGTTTCTTCAGATTTGGCAAACATTCACTTGGACTAAACAATGAACTGATTGGATTTCGGTGGACAAAGGTCAAGGTCAGTGTGACCTTGCATCTGTCTCACCCTTGTAAACACAATATCTCAAGAACACCTGAAGGGAATTTATTTAAATTTGACACAAATGTCCACATGGACTGAAGATTGAACTGAATAAAATGCTTTTGGTTGAAGGTCAACGGTCAAGGTCAGTGTGACCATAACTTAAGAACCTCATATACTAATTATGACAAAACTTAACAAAAATGTCTAATAAGCTAAAATAATGAGGTGATGACATTTTATATTGCAAGATCAAAGGTCAAAGGTCACCTTCACCGTGACATCGTATGGTTCTCCATAAAAGGGAGAACACATAGGAGGGAGACATTTGATCAGATACTTAATTGTACAGATACTTAATAATACTAATTAAGTATTTTCACATTAAAAGGCTCAAGTTCAAATGAAGTCAAAAGTTATTTGTGTCAAGTGGCAAGTCTTTGATTCTAAAGTCATCAAAATTCTGACTTGAGTCCAAGTCATCTGACTCGAGTCCACACTTCTGGTTACTATTACTGAATTCAGAAGAACCTTTCCTGCTATATCAACTCATTCAGCAGATACACAAGGGGATAAAAAAAAGCATACAATCAGGGTGGGCCAAGGCCAACTCCACACACAAAACACCCAAAAAACACTGCACATTTTCCACAGTTTTTCTAAAATGTCCTGGCCCCTCTTCTGTTCAGGGATGCTGGAAAACAAATTGATCCATAAAACAATTTACCAACTTATTTAACTATTTCAGCTTACTAATTTAAGACTGGAAACAAAAACCACCATCAGCTAGCTGGTCCATACTCACAGGGCATGCTCATGAGTGCAGGTGACCGAGTAAAGCTTCCCCACTGATCTGGATAGTGACTGCCTTAATTTTAATACCAGTGGGTATACTGAGTGGTGGCTCTGCTACTGAAGTCAGATCAGTGTAGTGTGTGATGCTGACAGCAATAGTCAGTGGGGCAGTGTAACATTCACAGGTAAACCTAAATGAAAATGGAGGGTGTTGGTTTATTCTGCTCTGTAATTTTCTTGGTTATTCCATGGTGGGACTAACACAGTTCTTGGTGGGGCTACTCAAACCAAGCCGTACCCTGCCACTAGCCATGGTTAAAGAAGTTAGTGGAACAGTGGCTACAGCTCCAGAATATGATACACAGTTACAGATTAAAGTGCTCAGCAGTTTGTCAGAGTCTTTAAAAAACAGCTCCACCACAATCTGCTGCAGGACTAAAATGTTACATGGTGATGATCAGTAATAATGATCCAATAATATCATGTATAGTAATATAACACTGACAGAAGCCATTCCTCCTGCATAATGAGGACTTTATAATGATGAATTTTATATAGCGTATCACCATTGTTCATATGTCCTTTAAAATACAAGGTCAGAGCACACAGCTGACACACTTACTGTAACTAAATATCCAGCCCAGTTTTACTGTAATTCTTTTAAACCATTAACCTGATATGAAATCACAACAACAAGGAAGAGGTTTGTGAAAACTGTTTACATGCTGTCAGGAAACAGATTAATGATCAGCTTCATATCTTTATGTGCATGCTGCAATCATCTTCTCACATACAGGACTGAGTCATAGATAAACATTGGCACGTTCTGCCACATGAACGTGACTCTGTGCTTCAGGTGTGTGTATATAAAGAGCAGGGATCCCCTCATCATCACTGCATCATTCAGCTGATACCTGAATAACATCACCTCACATTTACCTGACAGGTAAGACACCTGCTGTATTTCTTCTCTCTTCAGTGGAGCTCATGGTTCTGCTCTCTGTCTGAATATTTATTGGCTGTTTGTTTTTTCTCCACACAGAACAGTTGATCAGTTGATCATCACCATGAAGACTGTCCTGGTCCTCTCCATTCTCCTCTGTGCTGCATTTGCAGGTCAGATTCAACACAGACCATTTAGACAGATCACACACACTATCATCCATGTGTTCATCAGTCAATCAGCAAGACTCTAACATGGTGCACACACACACACACACACACACACACACA